AATGTGGTTGTCAACATGTATTCCCTACTTCTGGGAAACCCAAGCAGATTCTCTTTGCCTTTCCTAAATTCCAAAGGCAGGCTTTCAGATGGTTTGTCTTCTTCGCTAGTGTGTTGTGAAGCTCTCAGTACAAGTAGGGTATGTGTATGTGTGTGTACGTATGTTAAAAACCAGCTAAGGGCTGGCCGGCACCGCAGCTCAATAGGCTAATCCTCTGCCTACGGCACCGGCACTCTGGATTCTTGTCCCGGTTGGGGCACCCGATTCTGTCCCGGTCACTCCTCTTCCTGTCCAGCTCTCTGCTGTGGCCCGGGAGTACAGTGGAGGATGGCCCAAGTGCTTGGGCCCTGCACCTGCATGGGAGACCAGGAGAAGCACCTGGTTCCTGGTTTTGGATCAGCGCGGTGCGCCGGCCGCAGTGTGCTGGCTGCAGTGGCCATTAGCGGGTGAGCCAACGACAAAGGAAGACCTTTCTGTCTGTCTCTCTCTCTCACTGTCCACTCTGCCTGTCAAAAAAAACAAAACAAAACAAAACAAAAACAAACAAACAAACAAAAAAAAACACAGCTAAGGGGGTAGGTGTTGTGGCGCAGCAGGTTAGCCTGCCATTTGGGATGCCCACCTTCCTTCCTGGTGTGCTGGTTCCAATCCTGGAACTCCTCAGTCCTGGCTACTCTGCTTCCCATGCCGCTTCCTGCTGCTGCACACCCTACACACTCTATGAGGCAGCAGATGAGGGCTCAAGTACTTGGGTGCCTGCCACCCACATTGAGAGAGATGGAGTTCCTGGTGCCCGCCTTTGGTCTGGCCCAGCCCTGGCTGTTTTAAGCATGTGGGGAATGAACCCACTGATGAAAAGATCTCTCTTTTCTTTGTCTCTCCCTCTCTGTCACGCTGCCTTTCAAATAAATAAGTAAACAAATAAATAAGCCTTAAAAATAAATTGAAAGCAGCTAACAAACATGCAGTCCGACCACCTCACCTGCCCACAGGTAGCGCAGGCTGTGGCCAGCCTATTTCTGCCGTCCCCTCAAACACATTCCCACGTGTCAGCGGGCACCTCTCTCCCACCACACCTCCCCCACGTGAAGCCACATCCGTAAGGTGATTTATTTGCACTAACTTCCTTTCCCCACTCCCATCATGGGGAAGAAGGGCGTGCGCCCGGCAGAGGTACCCACTGCACTTACAGTTGAAGGTAAAATGTAGATGACTAATTACACATGCCCACTGAAGAAGACTCATTGGAGGGAAGGGTGGAAGGAAGTGGAAAACAGAGAGGAAGCCACAGAAAGGCATGGGATGAGCAGAAATTCCCGGACATCAAAGAAGGAGGCACCTTTCTCTGAAGGGAGGAGAGAACTTCCACTTTGATTATGGCCTTGTCTAAATAAGGTCAGAGTTTGTGAACTCAAGAGGCTTCCATAGCCTTGGAAGCTCATGACAAGAGCCTCGGGTGATCACTGACGTCATAAATAAGAGTGTCAATTGTTAAATCAACAACGGGAGTCACTGTGCACTTGCTCCCCATGTAGGACCTCTGTCCTTAGTGTGTTGTACTATGAGAATTAATGGTAAAACTAGCCTTCAAACAGTACTTTATACTTTGTCTGTGTGGGTGCAAATTGTTGAAATTTTTACTTAGTATATACCAGGTGCCGCGGCTCACTAGGCTAATCCTGCGCCTTGCGGTGCCGGCACCCCAGGTTCTAGTCCCGGTCGGGGCGCCGGATTCTGTCCCGGTTGCTCCTCTTCCAGTCCAGCTCTTTGATGTGGCCAGGGAGTGCAGTAGAGGATGGCCCAAGTGCTTGGGCCCTGTACCCCATGGGAGACCAGGATAAGCACCTGGCTCCTGCCATTGGATCAGCGCGCCATTGGAGGTTGAACCAACGGCAAAAGGAAGACCTTTCTCTCTGTCTCTCTCTCACTGTCCACTCTGTCAAAAAAAAAAAAAAAAAAAAAGAAAATGAATCTTGATGAAGAATGGGATGGGAGAGGGAGTGGGAGATGGGATGATTGTGGGTGGGAGGGAGGTTATGGGGGGAAAGCTGCTATAATCCAAAAATTGTACTTTAAAAATTTATATTTATTAAATAAAAGCTTAAAAAAAGAGAAAGGCATGGGATGACAAGGAGGCAGTGAGGGTCAGGGGGCCTGAGGACCGACTGCGTACAGTTGTGGGGACCTGGGCTGGCACTGGGCAGGGGCTCCAAGGGAGAAGGGCACTGCTGCTCATCCATGCTGCCCAACCCAGCCCCAATACGCAGAGGCCACAGTGGCAAAATCCCTTAAGAACTGTTCTGGTTTCCTCCCCATGTTTTTAGATTCTCTGCTAGTTGGACAGACTTTTTTTTTTTTTTTTAATATTTATTTATTTAATTTGAGAGAGAGAGAGTTATCTTCCTATCTTCCATCTGCTGGTTCACTCCTACAAACTAGAAGCATCATCAAGCGCTAGGGACAGAAGTTGCCTAGACACAAGCCAACAGTTGTTTAAAATTTCAGACCAAATCCGTAAATTACAGGAGCACATTGTAGGCCTACCTGACTGTTTTCGGAACATTGCATTGCTTTGCCTCTGGCCAACTGCAGTTCCAGCATCCCCTCCTCCTCCATCCCAACCCCGGGCATTACCTGAAGACCTTCCAGAGGTTCAAGGGTTCTGGACCCTCTGCGATCTCCTGGCCTACTCAAGCCTTTTTATGGCACTCAGCAATGAAATTTAAATGGGGCACGTGTGCTATCATGGAAGAACTTTTAATTGCTTAATTAAAACAGAGATTTAAGAAGAGATGCAAGAGTTCCCTTTGAAAGAGAAAATGAAGAATATGCCAAATTGGATGAGGTTGCTAATCACAGGAAGAAAACCCTTAGTATTTACATCTGTTAAAAATGCAGGGCCATGCATTAAAAACAATAAGGATACCCTTTAAAGTTTCAATTCAGTTTATCTAGAAGTTTTCTTTTTTTTTTTTTATTATACAGGTAGTTCTATAATGGACATAGAAGACCTCATTATCCAACCGGATTCAGATCAGGGTTAGAGTAAAATAAAAACCCGCCACACAGGACAAAGAAATTGCCGTAAAATTGAGTTACTATAAATGTGATCCAGTTTAAGCAAATACGCCCCTGACACAGGCCTCAGGAAAGTCTGCGCTGAATATAGCCGGACTTAGGCAGTCCAAGTATACAGGTGACAATTAGCAAGTGTGTAAACCCATGGTCATTTCGCTAAATGTGTAAGTCTAAAGGCAACCAAGTGAAAAGCCCTAAAAAGGGGAACTGTTAAATCCATTTGTACATGGATTTAACAGTGAGGCATTTCAATCTTCATGTTTTTACTTGGTGTCTTGAAATAATCCCCTTTCTGTCTCCACTCTCCCTCTTAGACACTGCGCCGGCCTTATTTATTTATGAAGTCTGAAGGTTACTCCTACCTGCTGAGACTAATTGCCCTGTGCCTTGTATCCTATGCAATCCTGTCTGATTAAATGTACACATTTGTTCTACTTCCTTTTCAGGCTCCTTCTCATTCTACTTCTGATTCTCTGATTAATATTAAAGTTGGGAGTTGGAGATTCTCCTCTGCCTCATGCCCGCCCCCCAACCCATTTTTATTTTGCCTGCGTTGTACTCTTTTAGTGTGCAAATGTGGTTGTGAATCTTTTTCCAGTGCAGGGGAATACGTTGGCCTTGTCAATCATTATTTTTAGTAGTCGTCTTTCTGAGGCCTTAGCCTGTAAAACAGTTTTGCTGAAACCCAAAACTCCCTAAATCTAACATGGGGTCCATTTGCTTTCTTTCGGAAACTGAGGCATGATGGGGCCAGCTGAGGAGCAGGTGAGTTTATCCACGGAGGGGCGGGATCACTGAGTGCACTGTGGCCTGGATATCAACACGGGTGGTAATAGGCAATTTGCTAATTTCTGTTGATGTACTTTTCCTGATTCCTCTTTTTCGTGTTGTAGCTTCCATCCCACTTCTCATTGGATATTTACAAGGAAATGGATGTCCTTGCTCCATCCTCCGGGAACACCCTGTTTCAGGCATGTTCCCCATTTTGTAGCAAATCAATCTGCTTTTCAGGCAAGGGCCTACAAATCCACAAATACCTGTCTCAAGCCCCAGGTTGCCAGCCTCCCAGCGAGGGCTGGGGGGCAATTTCCTGCCAGGGTCAGTCTCTTAGGATTTCATTTAAGGCTCCAGCCAGCGGATCGCGGGGCTTGGAGAACTTTCAGTTTTATTTTCCCTGGCGGCGTTAACGCCCAAACTTTTCACCTCCAAAGTCAGAAAGGACTTTGAATCCGAGCTCATTTCCTACCAACCCCCAGCGTCCGTTAAAATAGAGACAACACTGTGTATTTAAATCATCAGATATTTTTCCTTTTTTTTTTTTTAAATGCCACTGATAAGCTCTGCAGTACCTGAAAATTTTTCGGGGTGAGGGGAAGAGAAAAGTCATTTTGGCATCTTCACCCCAGCTCGACCCAACACCGCACGGAACCCGGGAGGGCGGTGCACACCTCGTGGGTTCACAGTTTCTTTCACTGGAGGTGACCGGGACCTCTGCCCGGGCGCCCGCAAGCCCAGGGCTCCCCCCGGCTCCTCCACCCCGCCGCCGCCGCAGGAACCACGCAGCGCCCGCCGCCCCGAGACTTCTCCCTAATATTTCCGAAGTGCACTTTTCCGGGGCCTCTCCTCCTCCCCGCCCCCCAAGGGGGCTTTCCTTCCGCCTCTCTCGGCTCGGATTCCCGGCTCGGTCGCCACCCCCTTCCCCTCCTCGCGCGCTCCGCATTGTCTCGGCGAGGCCGCCCCCCCTCCCGGAGCGAGCCCCGCGCCCGCGCCCAGACTCCCGGGCTCGCGCGCCCCGCCCGCCGCCCCCTCCTCCCGCTCCCGGCGGCCGAAAGGATCATTGTTAGCCGCCCCCGCCCCGCCCACCGCGGCTGTTTATTTATGCACACGTCACCGGCCCGGCCCCGCCCCCGGCATCTCATTAAGGCGAGTGTGTTCCTCTCGCCCTGTCAATAATCTCCGCTCCCAGACTACTCCGTTCCTCCGGATTTCGATCCCCCTTTTTCTATCTGTCAATCAGCGCCGCCTTTGAACTGAAAAGCTCTCAGTCTAACTTCAACTCTCTCAAATCCGAGCGGCACGAGCTCCTCCTGCATCTTCGGCTTCCCCCCCCCTTGCTCTTTATATCTGACTTCTTGTTGTTGTTGGTGTGTTTTTTTTTTACCCCCCTTTTTTATTTATTATTTTTTTGCACATTGATCGGATCCTTGGGAACGAGAGAAAAAAGAGACCCAAACTCACGCGTGCAGAAGATCTCCCCCCCCTTCCCCTCCCCTCCTCCCTCTTTTCCCCTCCCCAGGAGAAAAAGACCCCAAAGCAGGAAAGAAAAAAAAAAAGTTCACCTTGGACTCGTCTTTTTCTTGCAATATTTTTTTTGGGGGGGAAGCGAAAACTTTTTTTGGGGTGGTTTTTTTTTTTTTTGGCTTTTCTTCCTCGTTTCGTTTTTCTTCCAAAATTGCTGCTGGTGGGTGAAAAAAATGCCGCAGCTGAACGGCGGTGGAGGAGATGACCTAGGCGCCAACGACGAACTGATTTCCTTCAAAGACGAGGGCGAGCAGGAGGAGAAGAGCTCCGAGAACTCGGCGGCGGAGAGGGATTTAGCGGATGTCAAGTCGTCTCTAGTCAATGAATCAGAAACGAATCAGAACAGCTCCTCCGACTCCGAGGTAGGAGAAGCCCCCCGGGCTGCGGGGCTCCGCCGTCCGGGCCCCGGGCCGGGCGAGGGCGGCGGCGAGGGGAGCGCCGGGCTGGGGGCGGCGGGCGCGCGCGGGGCCGCGGTGGCCGCCACGCGTAACCCGGCTTCTCTGTGCCCCCCACCCCGCCGACCCCCTCTCTCTCCCCTCTCTCTCTCTCTCCCACCCCGCTTCTCCCCCCACCCCTGGCGCGGCGTGTGCCCCCTGCGCTCCCCACCTCCACCCTCCGGGAAGGCGGAAAGACGGCCTCCGCCTCGCTCCGAAAGTTTCCGAGATAAATCCCGGGAAAGTTTGGAAGAAGGTGAGTACGCCCCGCGCGCCCCGCCGCCCCGCGCGTCCGGCCCCGCGCGCCCGGCCCGGCCCGGCTCGGCCCGGCTCGGCCCGGCAGCGCGCCGGTCCCGGCCGGGGCGCCCGGCCGCCGGGGGCCCGTGCTAAAAAAGTTTCTCCTCGCTCTCTCCCGCGCCGCGCGGCCCGCCGCCGTCCCCTCGCTGCCCCGCCATGTTAGCGGCCAAGAGGCAAGATGGAGGGCTCTTTAAGGGGCCACCGTATCCCGGCTACCCCTTCATCATGATCCCCGACCTGACGAGCCCCTACCTCCCCAACGGATCGCTCTCGCCCACCGCCCGAACCGTAAGTGCCTCCGCGCCCGGCCCCCGCCCGCTCGCCCGCCCGCGCGGCCCCGCATGTGGCCCCTGCCCTGCCCCCTCCCCTCCCCTCCCCGCCTCCCCCTCCCCCTCCCCGCTCCTCCCCTCCCCTCCCTCCCTCCCCTCCCCCGCTCGTGGCCCAGGCAGCCCGAAACTCTCCAAACTTTTCTGCCTTTTGTGGACTGGATTTGTTTGCACTTCGCCATGTTCTTGCTTTCAGTTCGCTGCCTCGTGATGTTGGGGGCGCCTCTCTCTCCCCCCCCCCCCCCACTCAGCGGGGCTTTGTTGGGGTGGGGTGGGGGGCGGAAAGCGGGCGGGAGAACTTTCTGTGCGCCCTGGCTCCCCCTCCCCCCTCGGCGGCGGCGTTTCTGCGCCCTGGGAAGACGGCTGTGTGGCTCTTTCTTCGCTCTCTCTCGCTCCCTGCCTTCCCTCTTCCGTGGCGTCTTGGGCTTTCCCGGGTTAACCCCTTGGCTGCCGTGGCGGGAGCCCGAGCGGCCGGGCAGCGCCCGAAGCGCGGGGCCCGCCGGTGGCTTCTCCCTCAGGCGCTGCGCAGCGGCCGCCGAGCGAGCGCGCCGGGCCCCGGGCCCCGCGGAGGCGCCGTGGTTTTTTCTTCGGCGCGCTCGTTTTCGTAGCTTTCGAGGGGCGACCGCTGACTCCCGGCCCTGCTTCCCTCTTCCCCCCTCGGCAGTCACACTCCCCAGACGGGTCCCCTCGCAAACTTGGGGGTTCTGGGCGGCCTTTGCTCGGGCTCTCCTGCAGGGCCGCGAGTGCCCGGGGCGCCGTGGCGGGCTCGGCTGCCCGGCGCGCTGGCCGCGGGCTCTCCCGGGCCGCGCGCGCGCGCGCGCGTGTGTGTGTATGGTGTGGCGGGGCTGTGCCGAGTGTGGAGGCCCCAGTGGCCCGGGGTCTCGGATTGTGTGCAGCCATCGGGATGGCCTCCACCGAGCGCACTTGCTGTATTTCGAGGGAAATCGGGTGCCTTTGGGGTGCGGAGAGCAGCTGGCGCTCGCCAGCTTCCGAGAAGGCCCAGTTGTGGGGGCAGAGACCAGGGCTTGCGGGCTCACGGGGGCTGCAGGGGCCGTGAAAGGCCAGGGGTGCCCCGTATTCAGGGTAGTGGGCCAGTCACGCAAGTTGAGGCCCCAAGAGAGCGCGGGGTGCGGGACACTGAGGGCGCTTCCCGCAGCGAGTGTCCCTCAAGCACCCCTGACATTTGCAGCTGCTGCACCGGGCCTCTGCCCCCTCCCCCGCCCTCACCCCAACCCCCTGTCCCCCCACCCCCATGCCACCTTCTAAAAAGGCTGGACTGTAGGGATCCCTGGACGCACGGGCGTCTGTGGCCGTCTCCCCGGGATTGTCATTTTGCACCTTCTCTGGTTTTGGTCACCTACCCCGTATTTACACACACCACTTTTGTTGTTTTTTTTTTTCTGTCTTTTTTTCGGTAACTCGAGATAGCAATTTGAGAGAACGCACCCACTGTTCAGCAGTAGAGCATTCGGTGCTAATGGCCGTGGGCTTGCCGGTGGGGAGTGGATCGGATCTACAAGTGTTTTTTAAGCATTAAAATATTAACTATCAGGTTTGACTTGTTCTTGGGGCCCTGGCAAAATGGCAAGGGCATGCTAGACCGGTCATTTTTTATGGCTAGGAGAGAGAAATTACTACCCCCCTCCCCTCCCTTGCGCCCATGCTCCTGGCTGCCTGGGCAGCCGGGAGAGCTCCAGCCCGACCTCCTCCTGCAGGGCCCGCTCATTCCAGGCTGCAGGGGCCCTGCTCCGAGCTTGCAGCTGCAGGGGAAGCAGAGGCCGCGTATTCCGTGTGTTTCTTGGGCGCTCCTGAGCATCTTGCACGGGGACCATTAGGCTCCAAATCGGAGCCTTCGTGTGTGCTAACAAACCGGACTAAGCCACATTCCAAAGTAATCCTGAGAATTTCTTTCTGTCCTCCCCTCTCCTGCCATGCAAACCTCCTTGGTGTTGTTTTAAAAAATCCACTTAGCCATCCGAAAATTGAGCTTTGATGGCCGGCTTTCGGCTTTCTTGACTTCAAACTCCGGGTCTGTGACCGCTGGCGGTCCTAAAAACTGGAGCGGTTGTGTTGTGCAGTAATTAGGAAACGGGGAAATTGTTAAAGGCAAATAAATGATTTCCCGGTGAGAAAAGGAAGGCTCCCGACCATCGGTCCCCTTTGTGGGCATTATAGGAATAGACGTCGGCGTCTAGTTATTTTAATTGTGGACATAGCGGGTGGCCTTGTGCTGTGACATCAGATGGAGTCTGAGAAGGCATTTCTGAACTCAGTAGGCAGTTTTGCATGTCAAACACCAGCAGGCATCTTTGTGTTCCGCTGCCCCTTCCTCTCTGTTACCTGGGTTAGATTCTGTGCTCCAAAATTAAAGTTATTTATTTAGGCCGGGAAGCAGGGCAGTGGGAAGGCGGACGGGAGGCTGTTGTGTGTCACTTCTGACGTCTCCGATCAGAGGGCCAGCTTGCAATTCCAGATTTGATACGGCTGCCGGAGGACTCCACGGCGAGACGGCGGTGTTGCCATGCTCCTCTGAAATTCTTAGCGCGTCTGTGGAGTGTGTTTTTGAGGGCGAGGTGTAAAGACAAATGCACTCCGTGCTGTGTTCTCCCTGTCCTCCTTGGTGGTGGTGCTTTGGGCTGCGTTTGCTGTTAGTGTACCTGGAAGCCAGCTGTGTGCTTCTCTGTGTTAAGAGTGTGAAGAATTCAGGAGGATCGTTAAATCGGCTTATGGTGAATCGCACATTATGCTCTAATTGCTAAAGATGCCATAAAGCTCGATGGGAATCATTTTATTTAAAAACAACAAAGATCTCCCTGTAACATTAATTTGGTCTTTGATATCATAGCGGGAGTGGCTTTTCAAAAGACGGACTCAGATACAAAAACCCACGGTCTGGTGAAGTAGGTGGGACACGTTAAAACGGCAGATCCTAGAATTCTGGCAACTCTGGTCTACTAAAGATCAGACCACTGTTACCCTATTCACGCTGGCAGGAGGAAGTAGTTTTGCGCTTCTTTTCCTTTCTGGCAAAGAAGGAACGGCAGGACCAGTGGTGGACGTTCCAGTTAGGTTTGGAATTTATTTTTAAAGACTTGATGGTGTGAGAGTTCTTGCATCTTCTTTTATCCAAAGTTCTTTGCTTGTCAGCTGAGCTGTTTGCTACCAGGTTGAACAGATAAATAAGCAGCATCTTGAATTCATTTTTGAACTTGGAATTCAGCATTTGCAGGAAACCAAGAGGGGCCTTCGTCCTGGGGGTTTTATTTGGCCCAGAAACTCCTCTTTCTGGCTGGTGAAACATGGATGTTTGCTCCTCACTCAAACAACGTAATCCTTTCTGCGACAAGAGATTGAGACCCTGGAGCAGGAAGGGTTAATGTTGGTCCTTCCCCCGCTGTCTTCCCACCCCCCACCCTCACCCCTGATTGTTTTGACAACACTTTTCAAAGTGTGACATTCCAAGCCCCTACATAACAATGTAATATTACTGTAATTACACAGGTCATTACATTTTAAATAGAGAACAATAAAATGCTTATCGCCCTGAAAAAGAACAGGTGTTCTTGCCCTTCTTTGGTATTTATGCTAATTGTTTTCATCTCCTTCGGAAATATTTATGGCGAACTTGTTTAGATTTGAATCTCAATGCAGCAGCATTAATTCCGCGCTAATCTTTGTAGGTTGGGGTTTAAGGTCTGCCGTATGGATTATGGGCTCAACATTCACCCAAGTAGTCATATTTCAATGATTATAAATTTCATATGCCAGCTCTTTGCAGTTTGTGGATGCTAAGGCTTTTTGCAACCCCAGAAAGAAAACTCTTAGGCAGTGGGGAGTGCAAAGCATGCTTATCTAGAAGTGTTTGTGGAAACTTTCGACTGCCACGGGAAGTAGCTTTGACTGATGCCTTCTATCTCTGATGGAGAAGAGATTTTGGGAAAACAATCCCCGTTCTTGCTAGGAGTTTTCCACCTGGATTTTAGTTCTACTGATAGAGATTTCATTTAGAGTCACTGCTGGAGGTTGGTCCGCTTTTCTGTTTCTTAGCAAGCTGTGAGAGAGTTACAGATGAGGAAGGCAGTTCTGCATGCCATTCAAAAAAAAAAAAAAAAAGGATTTGCTTTAGAAAGCTAACATTTTCATAGTTGCGTTAAAGATGACCAAGGAAGCGGCTGTAGGCTCCAAATGCTTCCTCCATCCCATGAGGTGCCCGGAGTTCTTAGTGCAGAATTCCTGGCGCAGGTTCCCTTCCACACACAGGCGCAGTGGGTGAACTAGAAGGTATCCGAGAAGATTTTACATTGTGTCAGATGTTTCACAACAGGGCCCCCTCCGAATCACATTAAAAATGCGCTGTGGAGAAAGGACAGCTGCAAATTTTTGTGTGGACGCGTGTTTCTGGACCATGACTAAAACTCCGAGGGCCTTTTCCCCAGCTGTCTGGAAGTTATGTGGAAGTTGGTTTATTGGCAGTTAAGTATGAGACAACCTGGATTTAGCAAATGCTCTCTCCTACACAGGAAGTAGATGACATTATATGGGGGGAAGGGCGGAGACTTCAGGCTAGGAGTGATTTACTGCCCGCCTCCCCTCCCCTCTTTTTCTTTTTTTTTTTTTTTTTAAATCTGGGAGTTGCCAAATAAATAAGCACTTTCCAAGGAAGTAGGTGTAGGCTTTTTAGTCTTGGTAAGTGGAATTAGATAATATCTTTGACCGCATTTATAACTCTTTGAAGGTGACACATTTCAAAGTTTTGCAGAGGAGGGGCGTACTGGATCCTGGAGGGTGTGCTTTTGGGAGGGGCGTGTGCTGTGGGTGTCTGGGAGTGAATGTTGGCAGCCGTGTAAGTCAATCTTCCCCTCGGACTTATAATTGAGCGCATTTGTGAAGGAAATGGTTAATTTTACAACCAAAGGCAAACTCGCACCTCGACAGGTCTGCTGAAAGAAATGTGCCCTGGTT